GCCCGGCCGGTGCCGCTGTGTCCGGGGCCGCGGGTCCCTCAGCCGCCACCACCGCCGCCGCCGCCGCGATCCGGGACAACCAGGGCCGCCCGGAAGACCCGGACACTGGATTACTGGGCCCTCGGATCCGGATTCCGGGATGGTGTGGAGTCCGGAGCGGGAGAGCGCAGAGAAACCCGGAATCTGGTAAAGGAGCCAAATCCTGGGTCTCGGAACGCGCGGTCACCCGGAGCCCGGATTAAAGTCCTAGCTCGGGGAATGCTGGAAAACCCGGCGAGCCGGTTAAGACAGACAGAAACTCGAAGAAACCTGGACTGGAGAGCTCGAACCTAACGCTCTCTCCTCGTGCAAAGAACTCTTGCTGGACCAGACTTCTCGCAGAGGGGTCTCTGGGGAGCACACCAGTTCTTAGGTGTCCTTCAATTGTGGGGAGAGGAAAGGGCCATTTGGAGTCTGACCGGGAACACCCACAAAGAACAGAAGAGCACGCACGGCTCATGATGGTTTCATCCATTTTACCCTTTAGTTCAACAAAGTACCAGTCTCCTAATTTTCTGTCTTTGTTCTCTAGTTTCTTTTTGGGGGATTACCACTTGTTTTCATCTCCAAGTTACCCATTTCTAATCCTTTTATACCCTTTTTCACCTCACCATTCTATATCACCAAATCTTGTTTTGTTTTTTAATCTAAAAGTCCTATTCTGTCCTCCCCTAACCCGCCATTATACTTCTAAGGACTGTAACTTTTATCTTTCCTGTCTATAGCGCCATGTTGCCCGGAAGTCGTAACTTTTATCTTTCCTTATCTGCCGTGCATCTCTGAAGTTCCGGTTGCCCACCACACTATCTAGTACACAGTAAGCATTCAAAAAAAAAAAATCAAGCCAAACCCACTGCCATCGAGTCGATTCCGACTCATAGCGACCCTGTAAAACAGATTAGAACTAGCCGGTAGGGATTCCAAGGAGCGCCTGGTGGATTCCAGTTGCCAACCTCTTGGTTAGCAGCTGTAGCTCTTGACCACTAGGCCATAGGCATTCAGTCCATGTTTTAGTGAACCCTCCCACACCCCTCCTACTTGTGAAACATATCATGCTCTTCATGACCTCCTCCCTAAGACTTCCATCTCCTCCCATTGCAAGTGGAAATTTATCTAAATTCCCAGGGCTCACCACTTCTTAGCCCCTATTATGTCTTTCCTGTATCCCTGATCATTTTATCTTGCTCTGCAATTTTTATCTTTTCTTTCTGCCCTTATCCTTTGGCATCCGTCAACAGTGCCACTCAGGATAGCATGTAACTTGGAGCTAAACCTCAGGTCAAGAAATCCCTTTACTCCCCATCTCCATCTTAAAAAACAAGAAAAAGGTTGCTGACTAAAAATGAACACTAAGCGTGTCTTATCTAGGAAAAAATAATGCCCTGTTTGGTCCACCAATACTCAAGTTGTTCCAGGATAGTGTCAGGTCAGAACTGATCCCAGGTGATAAACTTCCAATCTGTACCAGATGATGTTGCAAGGTTACAAGTGAAGATTAAGCCACTTAACAGGCAGAGTGTTTTAGACTTTAGCAGGGTTTAGGTATGACTTAAGGAGCCTGGTGGGTCAATGGTTAAGGGCTTGGCTGCTAACGGAAAGGTTGGCAGTCTGAACCCACCTAGTGGTTCCTCGAAAGAAAGACAGACTTGGCTATCTGCTACCAATGGGGCAGTTGTACTCTGTCACATGCGGTGGCTATGAGTAGAAATCAATTCGAAGGCACCTAACAATAGGTGTGACTTAATTAATGGTTAAATGTTCTAGTAGTCATCTACTACTGAAGGGGTACGGCTCTACCAGGGGAGAGGACTAGACTGTAAAATAGAGAAAAAAGGAAAGTAAACATTCCTACGGTGAATCCTAATTTTGAGCTAGGGAAAGTTCTCAAGCCTGAAAGAGCAACTAAAAATTTTTAAGTGATCAGATGTCCTGTATAGTAAGCAAAATCGTAAGTTTGAATTCCTAGTCCTCTAGACCAGGGGCTGGCAAACTACAGTCCATAGGTCAAATCAGGCTCACTGCCTGTTTTGGTACATTTCACAAGCTAAGAATGGTTTTTACATTTCTTAATGGTTGGGGGAAAAAAATCAAAAGATAAATATTTTGTGACACATGAAAATTATATGAAATTCAAATTTCAGTGTCCATTAATAAAGTTTTATTGGCTCATAACCACATTCATTCATTTACATATCGTCCATGGCTGCCTTTAACTACAGCAGCAGAGTCGCATAGTCACAACAGAGGCTATATGGCCTGTAAAGCCAAAACCATTTGTTATCTAGCCCTTTACACAAAAAGTTTGCTAACCCCTTCTCCAGACAAGTGCTGTCCAATAGAATTTTTGTGATGATGGAAATGTTCTACATCTGTGCTGTCCAATACAGAAGTCACTAGCCACGTGGGGCTATTTGAACACTTGAAATATGGTTAATATGACAGAAGAACTGAATTCAAATTTCATTTTAGTTAGTTTAAATAACTACATGTGCCTAGTGGCTACCATATTGGACAGTAGACTCTTCTCAAATGTCCTATATTGAAATCTCACACCCTTCCTATGACACGCCTCTCTATGGATTCCCAGCCCCCTATTTTCCTGACTCCAAGCTAGGGTATGATATCTGCTAGGTTGTCTTTCTGGGTTCTCCATTGTCAAAACTGAAATCTAAAATGTGATCAGTTTTCTAAGTTTCACCCCATGAATTAAGCCACATTGTCTGTACACACATAAACAGACACTCATACAAGTTTCTTTGTGTCAGGGGATGATGGCACTGTGGCTATGTTCTTTCTTCTCTGCATGAGAGAAGTGGAAAAGCCCTCCACATGCTGTATACCTTGGAGCCTGTGATATGGATCACCTCCCTCCAAACACATTCACAGAAGCTGGGAACAGCAGATGTGCACTTGCCATTTGAATTTCAAGGAAAAAAAAAATTCCTTCATCACTGAACTTGCTTTCCTCTCTCTAGGCCCAATAAATTGAAGTTCACTGATTCCTCTAGTTTAATACATGCTTGTTTTTTAGTGTCATTTTTAGCTGGGCAAGAGAACAACTCCCATACTGTCTTGATCTTGGCGAGGTGCTCTAGCAAAGGCATAAAAAATTACTAAATTATATGAAATCCACAAAAATGAGCTTTCGTAGAGACAGTAGTTAAATGGAAAAAGATTGGGTTAAAACTCATAAAAGTCATAACTTTGTTAATGTCTTTAAAGTCTAAATTTTTCACACTTACACTTTAGGAAAAAATGGGTTTCTGTAAACTTCCAGATTAGAGAGGACACCTAATTCTCTTTCTCCAGATTAGCTGTAGCAAGCAAGAAAAACCCTTCCTACATTCCAAACATCTGACTCCAAGGCCAAAGCCTCCTAAACCCTTACAGAGAAAGTCTCCATTCTTATATACATCCTATTCTGAGCTTATATGGAGCCCTGGTCGTTAACAGCTCTGCCGCTAACCAAAAGGTAGGCAGTTCGAATCCACCAGCAGCTCCTTGGAAACCCTATGGGGCAGTTCTACTCTGTCCTATAGGGTCACTATGAGTTAGAATCAACTCAAAGGCAACGGGTTTGTTTTTTTGATTTTCTGAGCTTATATAACTGAAACTGGGTTCTGCCTGGAAAAGAAAAAAAAAAACAAAACAAAAACAAAAAAACGGAATCCTTTAGGTACTGTACAAATGGATAGCAATTGAACACAACCATTCAAAAGCAGGTGCAGACATTTAGGCTATAAGAGAAAACCACCTCAGAAATGTGAACATTCCCGCGGGCCAAGCTGTCTCAGAATTACAGGGTCAGAGCAAAGTGCTGTAAAGCACTGAAAAGCTATTCCTAGGTGAGTTTGCACTCAAGTTGCTAAGAATTTCCACTAGGCTTTAAATTACGTTATTCATCACTGAGCAACTGCGGGCTGTCTACCCCTAAGTTTCTCCCATACTTCCTCCCCCTTGTCTCCGCAAATAGAGAGACCTTATACCACCACCACGTGAACGAAAGACAGGCTTTCACAGTCTAACCATGAAAAGGAGAAGTTTCCAAGCTACTCTGCCATTTACCCATGTGGCTCCAGCTGTGTATTTTGGATGCTGAGGTGGGTTCTTGTAAACTTAGCTTTTATCACAGCACACAAAATGGTTGCATAACCAGATCTCTTACAGCTCCTGCCGGTTTTCTTTAGGCATGCAAACACAATCTACCCAGGTGGCAAATCAACCCAGACTCCTCTGTGCTCAGGCTGGAACTCCTCCCTAGGCTCTTCCCCTCCTGCCTTTCATTTTATTTCAGTATTAAGATAAAAACAAACAAACAAAAAAAACCCAAACCCACTGCTGTCGAGTTGATTCCACTCATAGTGGCCCTATAGGACAGAGTAGGACTGCCCCTAAGGTTTCCTAGGCTGTAATCTTTACAGGAGAGGCAGACTGCCAAATCTTTCTCCCTTGGAGCATCTGGGTGGATTCAAACAGCCAGCATTTTGGTTAGCAGCCGAACTCTTACCCACTGTGCCACCAGGGCTACTTTTGGTATTAAGAGGACCAGGCAATTCCAGTATAGAATTCAGGGTGCTATTGCCTGGTAAACTATTAACTGCTTAGTGAAGCCAGTGTGACTTTATTAATACTACTAGGGTCTGCAGGAAGCCAGAAAGAGACTTTTTTCTCCCTTAAAGAGTGTCATTAGCTGTACTTTCCACTCTCTCCACATAGATTGAACAGGGAAAAAAAGAGACCACTGCACGTTGGCATCACCAGAACAAGACTGGGGTGGCTCTTCCCTGGGAACGCAGTGATCAGGCCCCGCAGAGCCCACGCCTAGAGCTATGCAACAAGCAGGGTTCACAGCCGAGTGAACATCAATGCATAATGAGTGGAGGCATTTCAATGCAAATCAACGCTGAATATGAAGGATTAAAGAAAGGGGAAATTAATCTTTTTCATAACATAGGGCACTTTTTTTCTCTCCCTCTCTCTCTCTTTTTAAAGTCATGCACACAACTGCTGGAGGGAATCCAACTTCCCCAGCGTGATGGTGCTGCTTTGTAAGAAGCAGAACATACACATTTAAGGCCATGAATTTCCTCAAGGTGCCAGCAACTGAGATTCTGACAGCTCTTCAGAACAGCCTCAGAAACAAAGCGCTTCACTAAGTGGGGCCAGACTGACTAGTAAAAATCTCATTTCCAACCACCCTCCTGTATTCCCAAAGCTCACAGCTTCCTGGGGTGTGGGTGGTTTAAAAGGCCTGCTTTCAGGGTTTGGGGGTATTTGGATGCATTTACTGAAGAGATTTTATTTTTCAGTTTGTTTCTAATTGCCCTTCCCAAGTGATGCTTTTGCAATACCAACAAAACAAATACGGCAGCTTTGTGCTCTTCAGAAGGTGGCTCTGTCTCCTTCCAGTTCCATCCTCTCATGTCCTAGCTTCTCAAACCAAAGAACAAAGCAGCAGCACTTCTTCAAGTTATCCCTCAAAAAAAAAAAAATCTGCCAAGGAAGGTAACTCAGCTTTTGAAGACTGTTCACTTCAGAGAAGCTGGACTGGGGCAGAAAACTTGTTAAAAACCTTTTTTGTCCCATTACAGGTTTGTATGTACACAGGATTCCTAAAACCTCCTACTCCTCGACGGGGCTATCACTTTGAAAAGAAACTTTAAAATCCAAGCAAGAGTTTTCCTAACTACAAATTCAAGCCTCAGGGAGGAAATTTCCAGCTTCTTCTTTTCTCTTCTCTAATACCATTCTGAGAAAACGTTGAAGATTTAGACTTTTTAAAATTGGTTTTTATAAAGAATATATTCACAGAGTTTGACCCACTACAGAAGGTAAGAATCTACTCTTTAAGAAAAATATACAGATTTTGGTTAAGAGTTTAAATTGTGAGAGAGTCAAGGCTGATTGCCAAGCCTTTAGATTCCTACTGCTTCGGTTCCAAAGGACCAACGGACAGCACTTCAGTACACAAAATTCCACTGTGCTGTACAGTTTCTTTTCTCCTGGGTCAAATGGCTTTATTCTGCTTCATTAACCCCTTCTTTGCTCCTTGATGGATCTTGGAATCCAGCTTCCCTGTAAGGGAGAAAAAGAAGTCTCATTATTTATTTTTTATATTTGCAATGCAAATCTGTTGTGGCCTCCCAGGTCTTCTGGGTACTGTGCTCCTGTCACATTCAGTTATCTTGCTTTAGGACTCAGACACTGCCAAACTTCAGAATTTCACTCTGTAAGAATGAGAAGGCAGTGGGAACATTGTATAGGGGAACACACACACACACACACACACACACACACACACACACA